GTATTTGCTCATATATTTCAATCCCAAGTAAAATATTAATAAAATATTAATTTTAAAAAAATAATAAATATTGGTAAATAAAATAAAATATTGTAGTTTGTTACTAGAAATACAAAAAAAACTTAAACAAATTTCAGCAAAGCATAAATTTTATAAAAATCAAAAATTGTTTTCTCTTTCAATAAAACTACTCACTTATTTCTAAGTAACTGATCTACTATTATAATTAACTAAATTCGTTATGAAGTAATTATACATAACTCAAATACGTTTACTTTATAATTTATATTTGAGCTATAATTATTTTTTAATTTACGGTGGGACCTACAAAAGTTTACTTAGTTGACAACCTGGAATACATTTTTGACAAATCAAAAAATGCCAACTAATTTGGCATAGTATTGTAAAATGGAAGTTCTATAGAAATTACAGCAAAAAAGTCCGTAAGCCGTTCTTCACGGGTTTTGGTGCAAATTCAAGCTTGTGGACATATTGAATGAGTGCTAAGTAACGAACTTTTTTATAGCCGTTTCAAAGATTTCAAGTTGAATATTTTTCTATAAAAAATGAATCTTTCAAAGTTAACACCAAATCTTCGAATGATGATATATTTGTTGCGCTGAATAAAGATAGTCTAAAGTTGATAAAAATCCAAAAATGATTCAAAAAAAGATTATTGATGAATTAGGTTTTACCTAGAGAGAAAAAATTTTCTCTCTAGGTAAATATTAATGCATTTAATCTAAATTCATTTAAAGAAATCCGATTTTTGCGAACTGTTTTAGAAAGTGACTGATAGACACACTTCCTAAAAGTGTACTTTTAAAAAAATATATGGAAATTAATAGAAATTATGTTGGAAAAATGTAAATTGTTAAAGATGTAACTTAGATATTAAAGATATTAAAAGTATTAGAATTAATTTTTTTTGCACCCAAATAAGTGAACTTTTGTTGTTTCCCCCGTATTGCATAGTTGTAGCAGCTGGAATACACCTAAACTGTAACTTAAATATGCATTAATTTATTGTAATTTAATTTAATTTAATTGAATGTTATAAGAATTTTATATAAGTTAAGAAAAGAAGGTTTAAAGAAAATTCAAGCGTCAATTTAGTTGAGATAATACAGTTCTAACAGTTGTCTAATTTGCATACTGGATTATGGGTGAGAAAAATACATGCCCTTGACAATGCTGAACATATTTAGAAGTAACTGAAATGTAATAAATATAAATAATACATTGTTATCTATATAAAAATGTATAAAATTTAAAAGAAATATTATTATGTTACATATATACAAATTTATAAGCATGTGTTGCGTTTTTGTTTTGTTTTGGTTTAATTGCATTTTAATTAATTCATTATTAGTGTCAATATTAATTTATATTATTTATAGAATTTAATGCATTATAATTGGGATTCAAATGAAATGCTTTAAAAATTTTTAGCCGCATCACAAAGCATTCAGTTCTGAAGATATAACTGAATTTTACATCAAATCGGCTCTGGTATTTGTCATCATTAAACAATACACAATATATATATATACGTATATATATAATTAATTTTCTCCAATAACACTGTCTACAACCAGCTAAGTAAGTATATTATTTGTTTACTATTTCTAAATAGTATTAATACCTGAATAAACACCAATTGATTAATTATTATCTTTTCATTTGACTGTTTGTTGCACATAATATATTATATATTTAGTTATAATAAATACTTCAAAATACTAGTAGAGTTCGAGTTTCATGATTTGTTTTGTTTTTTAATGATTAGTCATATGAGTTTTTAATATCTTAAAAGTAGTAATAGTGGCATGAATAAAATATTTGTATACATAATTTCCTAAGAGTTAGAAAGGCCAACCAGTAAATGTTAAGTATTATTGGTATTAATATATTACTGTATATTATGTATATATATGTTTTTTTCTTAACCAATAATTTAACAATTAAAAATAAATATAAATAATTATTTCAATTATAACACAGCTGGTTTATGATTTCGTTCTAATATAACACAGCAAATCAATTTGTTATTAAAACTTTCACAGGGCATGAGTTGACTCCCTGGTACTTGCAGTGTCAAAATTATATTTACAAATACTTAAAGACAAAAAATATTTTCAAGACCACTGCCGATGGGTATTTGGCAATACTCGATACAGCTGTATGGTCAGGCAAAAATTCAATCAATTAAAATAATATAAATATTATTTTTGTTGTTGTAGTTCACTACTTTTCAAAACCTTTTTAAAACACTTAGTCAATATATAACGACACAACTGCTTGTTAAATTCTAGTTGTAGTGCTATATATTAATTTTATGTGTTAAAATAATTTTATAATTTTACTTTTTGAAGACAATTTTTACATTCAAACAAAATTTGAAGTAAAAACTTCAATTATTTTTCAATTTAGATGCTACTTAAATATATGTTTTATTAAATATTAATATCCAGACTTAATTGCTTTGCATTAACAACATAAAATAATTATTCTTAAGGAATTAATAGTTTTTATAAAAACATTAGAAAAGTATTTATATTTATATATATATCTAACCATCAAATCTTGTGTTCTTAACATTGACTTAGTATAGCTCAAAGATACTCATTGAAACTCACGTATAAGTGTTCCTAACATGGATTTAGTATAACTCAAAGATGCTCCTTACAAACTCATGAATAAGTTACTGATATCTTTGCAAAATGTGAAAAGAATTGCAGTTAATAATTATCTAATGTTGTGTAAAAAATTGCTGTACTGTAGATACCATCAGCTGACCTGTTCCTAAGTTCATAAGATTTAGGCACTTAGTAACTGAAATTATTGTTTTAATGCAAAATTGCAGATACATAGAGTTTTAAATTATTCTGAAGTGAAAGGTTACTTTTACAGCCAGCGCCCACATTTGTGTAAACTTAAATTTGAATATTGTTTATAACAAAAAGTATTTGTTTGTTATTTCAGTTAACTTCAGTAATTGAGTTCACCTGCATTTTATTGTTAATTTGCATTCTTGTTCTTGTTTACACGGGCTCACAGATGGTGTCGTTGCTCTTGTTTACTGGTTTGCAGATGGTGTTATTGGTGTAAGAGATCGACTACTTTTAGTATAAAAGTTGACATCATTTCTTAGTGGAAATCAGTATCAGCTTTAAAAGCGTTCTTTAAACACTACAAGTTCATATTTAAAGCACAACAAATCAAAATGAAAGTAAGTAAAATTATTTACTAGGATAATGGAAACAATTGCCATGTCGTTTGTTTATAGAGAAACTAACATTTAAAATCCTTTTAGTTCGTCATTGCTGCAGTTCTATTAACCCTTGCCATTGGCGCACAAGCTAGTTGGGGAGGCAGCGGTCATGGTGCATGGGCTGGTAGCGGTCATGGTGGTTGGGGCGGCAGCGGTCACGGTGGTTGGGGCGGCAGCGGTCATGGTGGATGGGCTGGTAGCGGTTGGGGTGGCAGCGGTCATGGTGGTTGGGGTGGTAGCGGTCATGGTGGTTGGGGTGGTGTTGCTGGAATTGGTTTGGCGCAAGGACATGCTGCCGCAGTTGTACATGCACCAGCAATAGCTGTTGCTGGTCATGGTCATGGTCATGGTCATGGTCATGGTGCCTATATTGCCAAAACTCGTGGTGCCGTGCATGCTGCTCCATTAGCTAGTCATATCAACTCAGTTGCTGCCATTAATGTTGCTCCAGCTCCAGGCACGCATTAAATTTGGCAACTCATAAATATTATAAGACGACATAAACCATTGTTAAAACAAGATATGTACATATTATAACAAACATTACCCCCCGCTCCCTTTGAAATATTTGAAACGACGAACTGCCTGTTACATCGTAACTAAACAATCATAAAATCGAACTTTATTCATATTTTTGTGAATTATAGTTTTCTTTAATATATCAATAAAATATTTAAAAATTATCTATTTCCCAAAATACAATATTCTTATCCTGAAATACATCATTATTTGTTTCCCCCCCAGTACGCTTTATTTTTCCTTTGCTTAGCAATCCTTTTAAATAATTTTTTATAATAAAATAAAAACATACAGTATAAAAATATATACATATGTTGACTTTATTCTCTAAATAAAAATTAAAAAAAAAAGACAGGATATAGTTATAGATTTTGTGTCCGTATAGTTAAATAACAGTTGACATTGCTCTGCAATTTAAATAATCGTAAAATTGTATACCTGAGCATATATGCTGCTTTTTGTACTGTCGGTTTTAGTCTTCATGGATCTAAAGTGCCATCATCTTGAAAGGTAGAATATGTGATACTTCAAAAATGGAGCAGAGTCTTTAAATGGAATCCAAAAGTTTGTTAAAAATAATTAAAACATTCAAGAAGTATATTTTCGGAGTAAACTATAAAATGAATGAAGAATTTTAGCATTTTAATGAAGGGTATTAATTTTTAGTTAGTATATTCTGTAGAAAAATGTGTTCATCGAAGATACTGCCACATTTTTTTGTCGGTAGATTGCGGTATACTGTATTACCAAGCGTAGTTTAAGTGTAATCTGTTATTCGGTCAATTCGCACCAGTTGTTTTTATAATTATACTTTTCAGTGTTCTGCTATGGCACAAAGCTATTGAAATGCAAAAGTATTTGGCAAAAAAAACTCTGTGAATGTAATCACATATTCGTCTATTGTAGTCAAGTGAGAGTTATTTTTCTATTTCAGAAACTTAAAATTATCACTTCGAGAACAAAATTTTGAGTAGATTGCAGGCATACAACAACATTTGCTAAATAAATTGAAAGTTGTTGTAAGCTTAAATCAGCTTATGGAAAATTTGTCAATCGCTAGTAAAGTTGCACTCTATAGACTCTATAGAATCTATTTTAAATTTAAAAAATAAATTTAGATTTATTTAAGATACTTTTATGTTTCATTTAATAATTCTTAGTACTTTTTGCAGTGTTATACTTATACTATCTTAGAACCTGTTCTAATTGCTATGATAAGACATGTATTATAAGAAGGTGTTATCGTTTTTTAGCGTACATATATGGCGGTATGAGTATTTAATAGCGGATATATTATTATAAGCCAAATGGATAACAAACAGTTAAAATTAATTAAGCAATCAGTCGGTAGTTGTCTTAAAGCGTGAACAGCCGTCAGTTGTCTCATAATGTTAAAAGTCGCCAGTACTTTCTAGTTTAAATAATACAGTGAAATCGTAAGTCGTTTCGTTTCATTTACCTACTTCATCGAAATCTAATAAATTGTTATATACAATGTGCCCTTATAATTATTAATTGATTTGTGATAGTTTACTATGTCGGATGGAAGAAAAAAAAATTAATGTAATCTAAACCTACATAATATTAACTTCAACTAAAAATGGTTACAAGCTCCTCAGGGAGGTATGCAGATCTGAGAACAATTATTCCTTCGTCTGATGAAGTGATAAACAATAATCGAGTCAAGAGTAAAAGTGCTCAAGTGCACTGACTCAACTACCCTCAACATAATAATAATAATTATATTTTTAATAATGATATTTTTTAAATTAATAGATTTTTATTCTTTGAATACTGAATGTTTTAATAAAATTGTGACAAATAAATAACCATTGTTCTCAAAAAAATATTTACCTCAAATGTTAATTTGTATGTGACACCTAAATTGAAACTGAGCTGACTTAAATGAAATTTGGCATATATCTCTTTATCCAGTACCACCTGCATCTTCTGTGTAAACAGATTTTCAAAACTTAAACAATGTCAAAGAAATATAAATAAATCATTCAAGCATGCCAATTTCCATACATTTTCTGCTCATCACGTTTATCCTGAACATACTGCATAAGTTGTTGCCACTTGTGTAGTCGCTTTAGGGTTACAGCGATTTATGGATATCAATTTGTAACCCAGCCGATTAGAATTACATCTGCAAAATTTACAACGAGTTGGAGAAAAGTAGCAACTTGATTCAAATAAAGAGCGCAACGAAAAATTGAAAAGATATGAATTTTTTTTTTTTGGATATATGTTAGCTAACAGCAGACAAAAATATCATTAATGTTAAGGTAAATGTTGTTTGATGAAAGCTTTTGAAGGATATGAAAAATTTTTTATTTGTGGATGGAGTTCACATATGCGTTAAATTCTGGCTTCAGGCAATGCTGACAGCCATAGCAGTTGCCTCCTAAATGGTATAAAAAAGTATCGTAATATGTTTCGTTTATTTTTTTATAACAAGAGTTTATATAAAATGTTTTGACTGATTCATATAAATGTTTTTAAATTTGATACAAATTTTTTGCCTAAGGTTATTATATAGGGACTTGTGTATTGCATGTATATTTAAATATATAAATGGGAGGGAAAACATATTAGAAATTTTTATTTTTATATTTAATATATCTACAAAAGTTTTTCTTTAAAATATCAGATTACATTTTAATAATGTTCAATAAATATTTTGTAATAAATTTTAATTTGTAAGTTAAAGAAATGTATATTTTCTTTAAATTTATTATTTTTTAATAATTTTATAAAGAGGTTTTTTTTTTTTGAAAAGTTGTGAATTACAACAACAAAAATTCATATTTATATTATTTTATTTAATTGAATTTTTGGCTGACCATACAGCTATTTCGGGTATACCCCTCATCAGTGGTTTTGGAAATAATTCCTGTATTTAATTATTCGTAAATAATTTTTTAAGACTGCAAGTACCAAGAATCAAACTTGTGTTCTGCCAAATTGAAAGCTTAGAGTCGGAGCAACTGAATCAAATTTTTTAATTATTTTTTTAATTATTTTAGAATACATTTTAATAATAGTTGATAAATCTTCTGTAACAAATTTTTATTTATAATCTAAAATAATGTTCACTTTTGTTGATTCATCATAATTTAACAAAATTAATTTTTTAAAGGTTAAAATTTTTTTAAGTATATTTATGCGATATAAAAATTGAAATAAAAATGTTTTATTTTTGTATTAACAAGAGTAAATTAAATTTATTACATCATATATTTTTGTAACATTTTATACTATACCTCAAAAGAGTTCAGAGATAATAGCACAATCCTTTCCTGTTGTCAGATTTTTTTTTTTAAATTTTATGGTGCTTAAAATTGCCATTTTATGAATCATACATATAAAATTGTTCATTTTATTAAATTGAAAAAAAGATACTCGTATATATAAATGTGCTATCCAATTTCTGCTGAGATTTCATATTCTTCATAAGCAGCTATAAATATAGCCAAAAATTGTTTATGTGCCAAGCAATAAAAAAGTACATTCTAAAATATCTACACAATTTTTGCATGGAACCAAAGGTAAGGAAAGGTAACCAATTTCAACAAGAAGATTTTTATTTTTATAGCGAGTGAAGGTAGTCATTTTTATGGAAATATTTAAGGTATTTTAAAGTATGCATTCGGTTAAATTTATGTGAACTTAAAATTGTTGTAATTTGTAAAAAGTTGGGAAGCACAAATTCAGGATAAACTCGGCATGCATAATACTTAAGGTGTCAGTTATTTTTATGAATATATTCTGGGTATGTTCCTTTTGCGAAAAGTTTTTGAATAATATATTTAAATCGTTTAGAATGGTCAACTTGGTTTCTGTGATAATTATATAGAATTTGTATACTCTTTTAGAAAAAAACACAAATTTACATTAATATACTGATGAGAATGAAAATGAGTAATACAATTTTTGCCCTATTTTTATAATCCAGAAGTCATTCAATACAAATAATCCTCAATATTACGAATAAAAACCATCCGACGAATTATGCCTTCGTTATATGGAATAGTCAATGATTTTACATATACTACGTAAAAAAATGATTAATAAAAATTAATAAAAAAGAAAAATAAATAATTAATAATTTAAATATACCAAAGAAATGCTGAAGAAAATGTGATGTTCCATATATTAAACTAAAACACGTTGAATTGGATTACTAAATCCAAATGACTAAATTGTACAGATGACTTAAAATATCGGTTAACTTATCAACTCGTGGAGCTGCGACACGTGAATTAACATTAGCAAGACTTTCTCAGTATAACGTTCCAAGATAAGTTCTATACATAAAAAAGAATATATAAATCATGCAATAAATAATGCCTCTACAAACGGAATAGTTTTAAAATTTAACAATTAAAAATAAAAATATAACTAATTAATTTAATTATTCTTCAGATGGTTTATGATTTCGTTCTAATATAAATAAATAAATGAATTTATTAATAAAACTTTCACAGCAAATTAACAAAGCACCAGAAAAATGTTAGAGTCAAGTATGGCTTTGGGTCAGTTGGTTAATGAACACTGACTCTGAGCTTCAAATTAGGCAGGGCACGAGTTTAATCCCTGGTATTTGCAGTCTCTAAAAATTATTAATGAATAATTAAATACAAGAATTATTTCCAAGCCCACTGTATGGTTAGCCGAAAATTCAATTAATTAAAATAATATAAAAATAAATTTTTGTTGTTGTAGTTCTCCACTGCTCGAAAAAAGTAGTACTTAATGAATGTTAAAAGATTCTCAACATTATTTAATAAATAAATTTGGTATATTTGATAACATATTTAAGATGTCAGATTAATTTTGAAGTGCCCTTATATTGGCTTTCATTTGTACCTTTCACTTTAGTCATGCATACAGCTAATGCAAAAATATAAAGCGTTATGATACATAAATATTAAAAACTAACAGTAATGCAAAAACTGCATTGAAAAAGGGTAGAAACCCATTCTACTATTAAAGTCTACAAACTAATTAATCTGGCCAATATTCTTCATCAAATAGCAAATTGGCTTTAAAACTTGTGGTCTTACATTCGGGTATGTGGTAAATAAATGGTGTTTATGTATTACTTGTGCATAAGAGGATTCTTTACCATCGTAAAAACTAACTAATTAACAGCGCTAGAGCAGTAAAAAAAGCTTAAAAATAAATATGAACGGAAAATAGAATATGAATAGTGCTAGCAAGTTGCACTAAAAACAAAAAACAAAAATGAAAAAAGATTTTTCTCTAGAAAAATGCTGTGTAAACCAAAAGTAATGAAGAGGAAAGGGTTTAATATTTTGTCAGTGTAAGTGTTTAATATCCTTACACTTTT